GTCATTTAGGAGGAGTTAAGCCACCAGAATAAGTCTTTTACATACTGACACTCTTCGGCATTTTTTCCCATACAAAATCTCTCACGCATTCGTTATACGGAGAAAATGCGCAACATCATCTGCGAAAAAATTCTCAAAAATCAACGGTATCTTGTAGTCATTAAAAACTTGCACTTTACGATACTGAAATTGAGTGAACTAAAAAACTGCATACTCAAAATTTGGTGCCATTTGATGCAAAATGAACTATGTTTCTAGAAAGAATTAACAAAAAAAAATTTTTATGTAAATGAAAAAAAGCACTGTATTCTGGGTGTATATATTTACAGATAGGTAAAAGTTTCAATATGTTTGGAAAGCACCACGTCCCTTTTCCAGTAGCCCAAAAATCTCTATACCAATTTCCAGGACATTACCACAAATACTTTCAGAGATATACGGTATGAAAAATTCGATATGTATGGGTGATGCCACGCTCCCTTAATATATCCAAAGTCTGCAGTAGATGTCCAAAATTTCAAAAAATCGTTACAGCCGTTCGCGAGATCACCTCTTATAAAAAGAAGCAGCTTCTCTTTATATACATAATTAGTGTAGGTAACACAGGACAACACCGATTTTGATGGGGCAAATGTTGAAGCTAGTTTGAATAGGCTCTTTTTGCTGATTAAGGGCCATTTTTATTTTGATTGTTGAGAGTATTAAAAAGGGCCATTTTGTAATGTAAGCAGTTAAGTTGCCTTTACTAGCAGGGCAGATAAATTGTTTCTCACTTTAGAGTGTTTTTGTTTTCTTATCTTACCGGTAAAAATATATTTGTTATTCCGTAGAGTGAAACCAGAGAATGTTAATGTACAATGCTACATTTTTGCAGCATGCACCACAGTACTCATAAGCTGACGGCGTAAATTTGCAAATATTAATCATCAACGGCAGCTAATTTATGTAAATTTGCTACAAATTTCTCACCTCACCATAGAATATGGTAGTTAAAATTGATCTCAGTGATCCCGCATCTCAGATCTTCAAATTAGTACTTAAAAAAATGTTACTTAACATTTGCGCCTTCTCATGACATTAACATTCTCTGGTTCAACAGTTGCTAACTTTCCGCCATTTTTTCCATCGTACAATTTTTTCGCTACCTGAACTCAACGTGTTTTGCTCAGCTTTAACAGATGATCGAAAAGATTTACACAGCTTATATTAAATGTACTAGTCTTATAGATTGAGAGTCAGCCTTTAATTAAGAAATATTATGTCCTGATTATATAAAATAAAACTAAAAAAGTTCAAAATAAAATAATGTAAAAAAAAATATATTTTTTTAAAACAAGATTTTATTTATTATGTACAAATAAAAAGAATGAAATAAAGTAGTGTAACAAAAGATTTATTAGCAAACAAATTTTGTAAAAACTGCACTAAAATTAATAAGTTAAGCTTTCGTTAAAGTTAGTAAAAGCCAAATAGTGAAAGGAGTTACTCAAACTCGAATGAAAATTACTAATAATTTTTACTGATTTACTTTGAGCAACAATTTATCGATTCCAGAAATTAATGCGCTGATGAGAAAACGAAAACTCGTACATATATGGGTGTTTCCATCGGAAGGTCCACCACGACAAAAAAAATAAAAGTCTTATATCTAACGTATTTACCCTATACGATTTGTCTGCTTTTTAAAATATACACTGGCTATGTAAGTAGAATCATATTTGCGTAAAATGGTCTTCCTAGGTGGCGCCAAGGCTGAGATATTTCGAAAAACCGTATTTATGGCCGATTTGGTTCGAATTTGGCGTATGTAGTTGAAACATAATAAGTCATAGATTTCCAACAAATTCACCCTGAATTGGCGCTGAAGTCAAAATATAAAGTATATTCTACATAAAATACATGTTTTATTTGCGTTAAAAATTCATTTAAAAGCAATATTAACAAAAACATAACGATGGAAATTTATGTCACGTGACGCTACGTCACTGGTTTTTTACTGGATGTCGTTTTCGTACGCAAAAACTTGCAAGAAACTTGCAAAAGAGGGGAAATTGAGAGAGCAAAATTGACAGCTGAACTTGCAAGTTTTACTGGATTTTTACTGGATAAATTTTTACTAGCAACTATTTGCTAGTAAGAAAAACAGCTGATGGCGTGATGCTTAATGTAATTCACATTAACAAAATAATTCTTTGTGGTGCTTTTATAGTTGCAATTGACAAAATAAACCTATTTAAATATACAATAAGATGGAAAATACTAGTTTTCTAAGAAAATTGCATCGGAAAATAACAAATTGATCAGCTGTTCATAAAACTAGCAACTTCTTGCTGGTTTTGCGTTTTCGTACTTTCTTGTATATTTCACTCATTGGGAGTAAATATTGACTTACTCTCCGAAATATGGTTACTGGCAAGTTACTGGATATTTTTTGCTGGAGAATACGAAAACACAGCTACTATTTTTAGCATATCCAATCAGCTGATGAATTTGATTCTGTAGCTGAATAGTTTTAGATCTCGACATTTAACAAACTCCTGTTCCCACGATTCGCACCAAAAAAAAAAAAGGAAAACAAGTAAGAAAGTCTAAGTTCGGGTGGAGCCGAACATTAAATACCCGGCGCAAGTATTAAACATATGTTTTTTCACCTTTCCGAAACCTACCGCTAGATGGTAAGCCGGGGATGTATCAATTTTGAGTAAATTAGCGTCCTTAAATTTCGAAATATAGCAGTTTCAAGCATTTCTGAAGTTTACCGTTATATGGAAAGCGGCCGTAATTTTAGTCCGATTTCAATCAATTTCAACGTTTTGCTTTTATGTGGCAAGCACAATAAAATTACCGAGTTTGGTACAAATTGGTAGAACGGTTACCGATATACATATTTGCGACCATATTGGTAAAGAATTGTTGCGAGCATCAATTTTGAATAAGTCAGCTTTAATATTTACTGATTTATCGAAGATTTTGTATTTCTGTAAATTACCGTTATATGGGATGTGGGCGTGGTTATTGTCCGATTTTTTTAAATTTTCGGCCAATTAGTATGCTGTATGAAGGCCAACAACTGTGCTAAGTTTGGAAGAAATTGGTGCAGCGGTTACCACGATATACACATGTAACCATAAGTGGGCGTGGCTACGCCCGTTTTCCAAAAAATTATAGTATTCTTATTTTTCGTCTAAAAATTGTTATAAATATCAATTTTGAGTGAATAATCGTCGGTAGTTACTAAAATATCGCAGTTTTCGTATTTCTGGAAATTACCGTTATATGGGAAGTGGGCGTGGTCCGATTTCGCCCATTTTCAATACCAACCTACATTGGATCAACAGAAACCTACATACCAAATTGCGTGGAGATATCTCAATTTTTGCTCGAGTTATCGTGTACGGACGGACGGACAGACAGACATGGCTTAATCGATTTCTCTTTTCATTCTGATCATTTATGTATACATTTGTCTAAATCTATCTCGATTCGTTTTGGCTGTTGCAAACAACCGTTATGTGAACAAAATTAATATACCCTTGTGCACAAGTGCGCTCGGGTATAAAAAGGTTCCGTACGTCATGTGGACTGCGCCCCTCGTGTCGTTAGGGATGGAGGGTAAAAACCGTTGGGATTAATTAATTGTACATGTTAAATAAAGGCTTGTTTTTAAAATATATTTGTTTTTGCAATATTTTATTTATCTAATATATCCTGTACAAAAAACTTGCATAAATGTATTTTAAAGAACGTATTATTATACGAAGCCAATTATGAGTATTTTCTGATATATATCTCGAAGTATAATAACTGTTTATGGAGAAAATTACGAACCATGCCTCAAACTGGTTCATAGGCATGCTACACAGCGGGTGAAAAAAGGTTGCTGTGGACAAATGAATTTTGAGAGCCCAAATGTGAACCGATTTCAAGTCTCTTTTTTTAAATAAGAGATAATTAAATTTCACATCGATCTATTCCAAAAAAGTGGAAGCATTCAAACGTAAAAATTTTGTTTCTTTTATTTTTCAACATAAGTAAATAAAACAACTAGGGCTTTACTAAAAAATCGCCACGGATAGATCGACGTGAAATTTAATTATCTCTTATTAAAAAAAAGAAACTTGAAATCTGTTCGGCTCTCTAAATTCATTTGTCCACAGAAACATTTTTAGCCCCACTATGCGCCATTTTAATGAGCCTTCAAGGCGTGGAAATACCGAACATCGAATACGGGACAAATACAGGACATTAAAAGAAATACAGAACAATTGGCGTCCCGTATAAAATAAATAAATTACCAGGCCAATTGGTCAAAAAACAATTGTTGGATCGTTTGTGCGATATCGTCCACTCAATTCCAGTTTTGATTCACGTAACAGTAACAGTAGCACGTAACAGAAAAAAATGCATAAATCAGTGTTTTGACGACATCTTTTTGTCAGTATCGTTTGAACCACAATCGTTTCAAAGTTACGTGATTCATGCCCAGGACTGTCCCGTATAATACAGAACGGATGTTCACCGTAACGATATTGTATGTTATTGTATCGTAGCGAATGCAAATCCATCAACATAAACATTCTTAAAATGTTGACGGGACTATCCGCCAGAAAGCTTCGCGATGAGCCAAAAATCAAAATTTTACCAGATCAGATACAAAATTTGACTAGAAACATTTTAAAAACCGTGCGATTTTCAATAAGATATTAGTATACGACTTTTTTACTACTATTCTGGCATTGGTACTTAAACCCGTACATGTTAACACTATAAATATTATGATGTAGATTTGAGGTTTATACCATACTCTGTAAATTGTGGGATAACATAAATATCTTAATGTTTTTTCTACTTAATAAAAATTCACCTCATTTCATACACCTTTTTATCATTCAGGTCGGAAGCATGCTATCTACAGTTGATTACAGGCTTTCATAACTACATATATAGCTTTATATTATGACCTTCTGGAATTTCTTTTATTTTGCAGATCCATATGAACCTCAGACAGCAAAATAGGGCCACCCACCCTGCTGCCCTGACGAATATATTTACATTGCAGTGTGGCCTGCATGGAACGCCTGCGGCTGCCGTCTAATGCCATTAAATGTAATCAAGGAACAAAGAAGCAAAAGTGTCACAGCCACAATTTGCAAAAAGGATTTCTTCCTACAGCAGCAACAATAAAGTAAGAATTGCAACAAAATAACACAATTCACGTCCACAGGCACTCAACCAACAAATATAATGATATCAAACACAGTTGCCACAGTACAATGAGGCGCGCCTCTAAGCACAATTCCAGAGTGCAAATGTCGAATGCCAGCTGGAGTCGCCGCCGACGGTTCTTCAACTTCTTTCTACAATTGCGTATATATCCATTATTTCGATTATTGCCGGTGTTGTGGCTGCTATTATGCTATTGTTGCTGTTGCTGTTGTGCCGAAAACAGGCGGAATGCCGCGGAGCATAGTGTTAAGTTGAGCAACTGCTACGACATTCGATATGGCTTTGATGGGGTGCTAACGGGCAGTGTGCCAAAGCTCCTATATCCTGCAGCCAATAGCTCTAATAGAGGCAACAGTAGTACCATTACCAATGCAAACATGAGCACCACGGTGAGTGATCTGTGGACGCAACACCAACTGCAGTTACAAAACGGTTCAGATGTAGATGCACTGGGCTTCCGACCAGGACCGGCGATACACACAGGTTGGCAATGTTGCTGCTGGAATGCGACAAATCATGTGAGTAAAAAAGCAGGACTACTATGTACTACCACGATGCAGAAAATGAAGGTGCCGCCATTCGCGGACTTCGGATTCTTAAAAAACTTAAGCAAAATTTTAAGGGCCGTTTTCTCATCTAAGCTTTAGATTACCGGCCACTTCATCGTCTCGATATACGAGTTTTCGTTTTCTCATCAGCGCATTAATTTCCCGAATCGATAAATTGTTGCTTACCCGTTGCAACCTTTAAAATTTGTACCTAACTTTAAATTTTGGTTCATGAGTTAGATATATTAGATATTTCAACCAAGGTTTTGGTTTTTGCTAACAGGTGCTCTTGCTCTATATTTGCTTATGTTGCATTGCCAACCTTTGGAATTTTATGACGAATGTAGTGAAGTTTCACTCTAGGAAGTGTAGTAAAGTTTCACTCTACGGAATAACAAATTTATTTTTACCCGTAAGATAAGAAAACGAAAACACTTTAAAGTGAGGAACAATTTATGTGCCCTGTTAGTAAAGGCAACTTTAAGTAATCTTAAGGGCCGTTTTCTAATGCAAGCAGTAAAGTTGCCTTTAAGAGGGCAGATAAATTGTTCCTCACTTTAAAGTGTTTTCGTGTTCTTATCTTACCGATAAAAATAATTTTGATATTCCGTAAATTGAAACTTCACTACATTTCCTAGAGTGAAACTTCACTACTTTTGTCATAAAATTTCAAAGGTTGGCAATGCAACATAAGCAAATATAGAGCAAGAGCAACTGTTAGCAAAAACCAAAACCTTGGTTGCAATATGTAATATATCTGACTCATGAACCAAAACCAAACCAAAATTTAAAGTTGGGTAAACATTTTTAAAGGGTGCCGCGGGTGAGCAACAACTTATTGATTCGTGAAATTAATGCACTGATGAGAAAACGAAAACTTGTATATCGAGACCAGGGGCTCTATTCTGTAACTGTGCGTTTTCAGGTGTACACTGAAAATTGTGTGCACTCTTCATTTTGCGATTCAGGAAGAGTGAGAATGAGTTTTAGCTGTCAAAATTGTGTACACTTCCTCATTTTGCGATTCAGCATGTGTGAGAATGAGTTTTAACTGTCAAAATTGTGTACACTTCTCTTCCGAAAAACTTGCTGAACTTTTGTCGGGGAGTTTTTGTTGTGAGTTTTGCACCCGGTGTACACTACATTTTCTCACAGTTACAGAATAGAGCCCCAGGGTTGTTGCGAATATTGTTCCGAAATGAAAGTATTTTCCGGATAATAAACAAACCGCTTATCCAAATTAAACAAGTTTGGTATCAAATGAAAGAGGACTTAAATAGCTTTAAAACTGAAATGTCTAAACGAGGAAAGGCACATATTGAAAACTATTTCAACAAAAAATGTTAATTAATTACCATAGAACAAACCTATATAAAAAAACCTTATAAAAAAAATGTAAATAGAGGCAATGGAGCATAAGCAAATATAGAGCAGGAGCAACTGTTAGCAAAAACAAAAACTTTGTTTGAATATATCTAACTCATGAACCAAAACCAAACCAAAATTTAAAGTTGGTTACAAATTTGTAAAGGTTGCATCGGGTGAGCTAAAATTTATTGATTGGAAAAATTAATGCGGTGATGGGAAAACGAAAACTCGTATATCGAGACGATAAAGTGGCCGGTAATCTAAAGGTTAGATGAGAAAACGGCCCTAATTAAGTGTTGTAAGCAACTTTACAAAAATGGGAACAAAATCATGGCAAAATGACATTCATAGGCGAGAGAATATGTGGGCCAACAAAATATGTGGCAGCACCTTCAATCACGCCAGAACATTAATTTTTACTAGCAGACCCGGCGAACTTCGTCCTGCCCAAAATTTTAATTTTTTTATTGAAACTTTTTGGGCCAACATTCTCATTCATCTGCTAAGATTATGGTTTGGTGGTTATTTGTGTGCAGCATTTCATAAAACGGTTATTCGCAAAACGAAATAAATTTGAAGAATGTTTCCCTCTTCCCTACATGGCGGCAACAATGACCCGGTTCTATAGTGAATCTGTCCTAGAAGCTTTACAGTATAGTTGGTGGCAATCTCAAAATGGGTTCAACAAAAATGCAATATACATATACTGATTTCAGACGAAATACCTTAAAAGCTGGAACGCATAATAATATCGGAAAATCACATCCTTTGGGCCAATCGTAACACAGTAGAGTTCGATATACTCAATGGTGCAACAGGTCGATTTAATCTGACCTTCACGGCACTTTTTCTCACTTGGCTATTTTTTTAGTAATAACTCGACTCCAGCGCCACTTGGCAGTACGTTTTTGCAATAGTATTGCCCTTACTATTACCACTACATATTTAAAATATTAGCTAAATCGGATCATAAATAAGATTATTAGTAATAACTCAACTACAGCGCCAACTGGCGGACTAAATTATAAAACTAAACCTTGATTTCATATATATACATATCTCCATACGAAGTATGAAAAATTCTGTTTGTATGGGAGGTGCCACGCCCCCTTTTCCAATAGCTCCAATTTTTCTCCAAGAATATGCGATTGATCCCGTATATCTCCATACCAAGTTCTAGAACTCTACTATGAACACTTCCAGGGATACGTAGTATGAAAGCTTTAGTTTGTATGGGAGGTGCCACGCCCCTTTTACATATAGAATTTTGTTTAGCCTAAAACCATCCTTGGGACACGTGCGGCAGGTGTCTGAATCAGGGTTGTTGCGAATATTCGTATTCGCAACCGCGGAGCTTCCGCATTAATTTTAACATTCGCATTCGCTTTCGCATTCGCAATAATCAATGCGGAGCTTTTGCGAATGTTGTGCAAGTGCACCGAAAAATGACAAATTGTAGCCAATATTTTTGCCTGCGGTCGTGGGAGTATTTGTGTAACAAAACCGGTCAAATGTCATATTTATAAAAATGTCATATACATATTATTTCTTAAGCATATACATATTTCTATACATATACATATATATATTTCTTAACATATACATATTATTTCTTAAGCTATATAACCGAGCTATCAATGGGCAGTCATACAAGATCCAACTTCTACTTGACCTTTGACGTACGTCATAGAGAACATAGTCTTTTTAGCAAATTTTTTTTCCTGTGCTTTAAATACCTGCATTGCTTTCTTTCTTTATTATGATTTTTTTGGGCCAATCTTAAAAAAACTACTAGACGCAAAAGAAGAAAGTGTACACTGTAATTCTTAACCAAATTTTCGAGATTTGCCTTTGATCTTACATCTATATTGGTTTCAATAATTTCAAATGGGGCTCTTTGGGGAATTTATTTTTAGCAAAAATTTTAAAAACAGTAATTTTGTTTACATGTCGGGCAATATTTTTTTTATAGGGATATACATTGGATCCTTGGCTAAAAACTTCTGTGGTAAAACTGTCCCTTCTTTGTTATTTGAAATCAAAGTGTAAGCTCTTTAAATAGGGATTTCCAGCAGAAATGATAAACGTCTGGACATAAAGAGAAATAATTAAAAAACTATAGGTCTGACCTTTAATAAGATAAAAATTACGTGAGATTCAAATGCTTATAAAAAACAGAGTGTTTTTTTTTTTTAAATAACAATATTCTGATCCGATTCGGCTGGCAGCCACGAGTTTGAAAACAGAATTTTGTTCAAAATTTTATTCCTGGAAAATAATAATTTATTTTCCATATCCACCTATTTAGCTCGCTATAAGCACACATTTTTCAAACCAGTCGCAGAAGGAAGTATTAAAAATAACAGAAATTAAAATCGAAAAACGCTCATGATGTTACATTCCCTAAATTCTGAAACAGCCAAAGGAATGAGAATGAAGAATTCTTTTTAAAGAACTTTAGAAAAACCTGACACATCTGGTTTGGCTTGTAAGCGCTGTTTAAACAAAGATCTCGTCATTATGCTTGATTCTAATTGTTTCTTAAAAATACTTGACATCCGCATTCGCATTCGTATAGCTGTTAGATATTCGCATCCGCTTTCACATCCGCGGATGACTTAACCCTCCGGTTGTGTGAAGAATTTTTAGTCGGTCGTTAGAGTATTAGTCACCCAGGTGACTATGTGCAAAATGTATCAAAATCCCATAATTTGCAAGAGAAGATGCACACAAATGATAGGAGGTCATTCAGGAATGGCAAAATGCAAAGGTAAGGGAAGTGACCATGGTTGTAACTGGGTAGGGGCAAGGGCTCTACATTTAAAGTTCTACCTATATATATATATATAAAATAGGTCCCTGATATGCTAGCTTAATAGTTTCGAGGATGATCAATTCGAAGACATCGAAGGTGAGTATCTGCCTGAAGGATCTGCTTCAGATGAAGAGGAGGGCGACTTTCCGGCAGAAATAAAAGCTGAGGAAGATATCTCTGATTTGAACGATATTGAAGTCAAAATCGAAGAGCCTAAAGATGCAGAAGTTGAGCAACAACTTTTGAGTTCAGCTATGATAAATTTAAGGCCGGATCAAATTTATACTTCAAAAGATAATACGATTTGGTCTAAGAATCCATTGTCTAATGCTGGTCGAGCTCAAACGCGAAATATCATGCGTGTGAGCGGTGCGTATTATTTGGCGCTTCTATACAAGCACCGGGTTTTTTATTACATTGCTTCCATACTTACAGATGGACCTGCCAACAAAAAGTTTTTGGCGAAACAAGAGACTTTCAATCTAATTTTCATTGACTTGATTAAAGATCTTATCATACGCTACACGAACCAAAGAGGTGCAAAATTTGCAGCTGAATATAACGTGCAAATCCAGATCGCCCACAACGTGAGTGGACTCCGATGGATTCGATTGAGTTCGATGCATTTTTGGGCATCATTTTACATTGCGGCGTTCACAATTCCAGCCATGATCGAGTGGTTGATTTGTGGGCTCGTCATGCACACCCTCTTTACCGTGCATCAATGCCAATGGTTCCATTTTTAACCATCTTGAAGTGTATTCGTTTCGATGATTCGAGAACTCGA